AGATAGATAGATAGATAGATAGATAGATAGATAGATAGATAGATAGATAGATAGATAGATAGATAGATAGATAGATAGATAGATATGTGTAACGAAAGAGTATATTTAAATTTTATACATATTTTTTATGTGTGTGTGTGTGTATGTGTGTGTGTGTGTGTATGTGCGTGTGTGTGTATGTGTGTGTTTGTGTTTAAGTGTAGTGCGTGTGTGTGAATAAATGTCGGCCTGTAGAAATTTTGTAATCTAATGTATTCTGTTCTCCCTGCATCTAGTATTTCTTCTACACTTCAATAGTTACGTTCTCCAATAATTCTGTTTCTCTACCTTCACTTCCCAGTTTCACACAAGACATCACAGACTGTCTGAGAGATCCCTACAGCAAGTACTGCCCCGAACACATGACCAATCTGCTCCTGGATGTGGTACAGGCAAGTTCAGCTTTATATATCTAGTGGTTAGGCTACCGAACTCGTAATCGTGAGGTTGCGGGTTCAAGCGTTCGAGTCGCAGGCCCGACGTTGTATCCTTGGGGAAAGCACTTTATACAAATTTTCCTCAGTTCACCCAGGTGGGAATGGGTACCTGGCCATAGACAGCGAAAGATCTTGTCAGTATGTTAGTGTTTTAGCACCTATAAATGCTTGCACTGTATGCTCCCCAGGAAGTTGAGGTTGTTTCAGAATGCTTCTTCCACCATTCCAGATCAACCCATTCCCTTTGTTGTTATCGTCATTTAACTATACTTTCTTCATCTCTCGTAATTCCGTAACTTAATACATGTATTTCCCTTCTTGTCATAATCTCTGATATTACCTTTTCTTCTCCTATACTTCTAAACCCATGCCTATTTCCCTTCTGTTTATTATCTTTGATATTACTTTTATTACTTGTTATTATATAATTCACAGGTCTGTCAAGGTGGTCCTTAACTTATGTTGAAGCCTGCATTAAGGGGTTATGTACTCGATACAAGGAATTTTCTAGGGGTTTGACTTTCTTTAAC